ACAGCAGACTGACTGCTGGTAAAATATACGACAGGTCTGGACCACTCCTGAATTTTGTTTGTAAGAAAATCGTAGAATACGAAAACATTGGTGAATGCCACAAATTCTCCTAAATCACTCGTACGCACAACTTAAGAACAAATCTGTGTACGAACGGTTCTTGCATGAGGCCCATTGTTCTTTCACTTTCCGACCTCAGACCTTCTGAAAACACCACAAGGAGGACCCAGTTTTCCACCTAAGCACCATCAACTTGAAACAGCGAGTGAAATTTATTTGTTTTAAATAAAGTCTCATACAGTTCACAGCTATAGGAGCCTACACAGTAAGCAGAAAGTTGTCTTCTGGTTGAGTGCAGAACTACACCACAGGGTAGTTCCAAACAGTCTGTAGCGTCTGTACCAATGGAATGAAGGGAGACGAGGCTGAATATTGCTCCTCCCTAAATATAGACAAATATTAAAAACAGAAGAGAGAACTAGAAGAAAACGGCAAAAACTTGTTCAGCTTTTGGAAGCATTTTGATGCTGTTTTTCCTCTGACATATATCAGCAAAAGATCATGCTTTACCTTTGAATTAAAACACACAGACTGGATTCATCAGGTTATAGTGTTGTACGTTTAGCTTGGGTCATTTCTTACCCCCTAAAATTGACTTCAGTCACAGATATTTATCTACTTTAAAAAAAAAGAAGTCTCTTGATAAACGTGGCACCATCTCTGCCTGATTTTGGATGCTTTAGGACAGCACGGCCTGGGAGTTCCTGATGCCGATCAGGTTGTCCGCACTGACGGACCTCCTCATGGCGGACCTGCTCAGGTCCTTGTATTTGTCCTCACACAGCCTGGAGATGGCCTGGAGACAGCACAAACACAAAGATGTTACTAACAACAAACTGAAAGGTGTTTCACTGAACTGCAACTGTGAGACGAACTGCTGACGTGATGTAGCGTGAAAATATTTTCAGCTGATGTCTCAAAGCATCAGTGTGGCCGACATTGAGAATCGTGACTGTATTTTGTGTCCACGACTTGAAAAACTGTGCTTTCGGCCATGCACGTTATATATGTACAAATTATATATTCTGTTACTCAGCTCCGCCCACATCATACTGGCTTCTGTCTGCTCAGGGTTAGGTAAGGTTCCAAACCTGCAGTCGCCCCCACATTTCTGATCTAATCTACATTAATACACTCTTCAATAAAAATCTGCAGGTTTAGACCAGTTCTTAAATAATTGTGTGATTCACCTTTTCCTTTTTTATATTTTTCTGTACAGTTTTTGCGACCCGTTTCTGCATGCCTTGTGCTATTTTAGTAATTCATAAAAAGAATTCTGCTCATTCAGGAGATGTAAGATGTGACTTTTGTAACTTTCATGATTTTCATAATATTTAACTTTTGTTCTTTTTAAAATCTGTTTTGACAAACTTAGGTCTATTTTTGTCTTTTCATGCTTTGTTTAGCTTCTAGGTATCATTTGCCAACTTCTAGCTAACTTTTTCTTACTTTTAGTTTTTAACAGACCATTTTGTAGTTTTCTGCGTGCACAGCATCATGGGTAGTGAGGGAGACCATTTTGTAATTATAAATGCGTGAAGCGGGCCAAGCCCACGCATCTTTCAAAACAAACGCTGAGGTTGCTACAGAAACACCATTGGAATTGAACAAATTCAACTGGTAAATTCATGCTGATATACATACTTGATGTATTTGCTTTAAACTGACTCATGTTAAACTTTTTATAGGATTGTAGATGATACTTTTCTTGAACACTTAACTACAAGTCTGTATTTTGAGCTTGATGAATTGTTTAATTCTAATGGCCTTTCCACAGCAACTAGAGAGTGGGGTTTATAATTTAAGAGGAGAAGGAAAATTTAAAAAACAATGTATTAGAATAACCAAAAAGAGTTTTTGTTTATCACAGTGTGGGGTAGATTTATGGAATGGATTAAATGATGAGCTCAAAAAAAGTACAAACATAAACCAGCTTAAAAAATGTTTAAAAAGGAGCTTACTGGGAAATATGTTATGTAGGATGGGTGTCTCAATGTTATTTATATTAAAAATGTATAAATAATTGTACATGTAAGGATGAGAATGTAAGATTTAATGCTCATTCAATGTGGGAATAATTTGTGTTTATCTGGTGTGCGAACATTTAAATGTTATGAGTATGAGAAGGGCAGAAAATAAAAAGCTCCTGTATTTTTTTACCTGCTCCTTTTCGAAGAAATAATGTAAAAAAGACCTGCCTAAAATGGATTATTAGTTCAAGAAAATTTTTTTGATTTCTGTTTATTTTACTTTTTTATTTTGTTTTGTTGCGTAAAGATTATTATTGATGAATTTATTTGATGGAGAAAAGACACAGATATAAGATTTTTTTCTTCTTTCTGCTGCCTTTCATTTCATTTCATTAGGTTTTTGTCTTTTATTTTATTTTTATTTTGTATTTCATTTTTATTTTATTTTTTAATGAAATGAAATGAATAAACGTAATAAATGAAATGAACCTCAGCGTTTGTATTGAAAGACGTGAGCGTGTCTTCTTTGCACATTTGTGACAAAGTGGTCACACATTGAATGCATCTGAGTATCCTACACGGCTGAAGGTATGCCATTCATTGAACAGTCAGCAAATTAATATATATTTTTTTAATTTTACAGCATTTTTTTTAAATGACGGAGTTTGGAATTTTATCACGGACCAAAAAATGTAAGTTAAACAACCTACCAGAAGAAACTTTTGTTTCAACGAGATGTTAAATAATAATATAATAATGTAGTAGATTATTTCCTTGTAACGTTTGTCTATTAAAACTGAATTTTTTGACGTTATACCTTGAAAAAACTGAAGCGATGTAATATACAGCGGGTAAAATAAGTATTGAACACGTCAACATTTTTCTCAGTAAATATATTACTAGAGGTGCTAATG